TGCACACACAGCTATCTCAACTAGAGGTAAATCTAAAACATGCATACACAGCTATCTCAACTAGAGGCAAGTCTAACACATGCATACACAGCTGCCTCAACTAGAGGCAAGTCTAACACATGTACTCACACGTGCCTCAGGTAGAGACAAGTCTAACACATGTACACACACGTGCCTCAGGTAGAGGCAAGTCTAACACATGTACTCACACGTGCCTCAACTAGAGGCAAAGTGGTTAAAACTTGCTACGCCAAAGAAAGTTAATTCTTCTCAATGTTCACATAACAAAAATTTTACAGTAGAAGCAGAAAAGTCTGAACTCTGAATGTTGAGAGTGAAATGAAGCATAATACAGTTTCTCGAATTATAACTGAAACTCTATATTAATATCTATCGATAATGAACTCTATTGTATCAACATCTCAGTGACATTGATTTGCTGCTGTATCTTTATGATGACTATTTCCACTCAATCCAAAGTTACATAACTAGACTTTGACTGTGAATGAGAATATCACTCTAACTACTTCACCATTATCTTCACAGATAGATATAACTCTGTGGCCCTTTGCTAGCTACTGCTTCAGAGCTATATGACCCACAGTGCTGCGAAACAACAGTGAATCTCACTAAAGCCTGTGTTACCTAAAACCGACATGGCTGTGTATTTGTGTTTTTGGTTCGTTTTGCATTCTACGTTCTACAAAACATCCAATCTCGCAAACTTTATAGTGAGTCAGTTTGATTTGTGTCACGGCTAATTTCCGAGCGTTTATGTTGCCAGCTAGCATATTTATTCACATATATATATATATTTGTGTCACGGGCTACAGCTTAGCCAGCCATGCTGCAAGGATTCGCTGCTGTTTCTCATTACTGTTGGTCATAATAGCCCTGTAGCAACAACGAAGAGCTACATGGGTATAGCTGCAGCAGAGATTTCCATCTCTCTCCAACAGCTCTGGTTTATAGCAGTGTGATTGTTGATGTTCTCACCAAGGCGGTATTCAAGGAGTCAACAAATGTTTCCTCTGTCATGTCCAGCAGTTCCTTCGCTCGGTCGGTCGTTGTTGTCCATATCAATGAGCTCATCGTATCTGTCAGCTGAAATGTAAGGTACAAAAATGTAACACGACTGGACAGTTCTGCCATCTAGCAAAGTACCTAGAACTTTGGCAAGATAATACATGCTTGATAAGACTGCAGACTTCCTTCTTATTTAATTAATTTGTCTGTTTCACTGTCAAAGGATTGCACATTAGGGATTTAATACTTTAACATCAACCTGCATAGTGCTACCACCTAGTGGGGCTTTAATATAATATTACACTATACTATATATATATATAATAATAATAAATAATTAATCTTGTAGACATTAACGTTGGAAGCGTAACCTGCACATCAGGCAGCTAGATTTCTAGTTGTCTGGATCCAAGTTACCATGGGTTTGCAAGAGTTATTGTTCGTGTAGCAGTCTTTAAAACCTACACTGATTGACCGCAGAGTGCTCTTGTTATTATGAAGCTTTTCAATGACTTACTGGCAGAATAGCGACTGGACCAGTGGGAAGGAACTTTGCCAGGCAACATTGTTCTCTGTTGGCTGCAACATGAACAATCACAGGTAACTATCTCTTACAGTGGAAATGTAACCCACCGATGATTATGGCCACACATGAGAATAAAAGCATTGAGGATTATAGAGTGGAAATCCTACTAACGCCCTGGAAAAATGAGGAACTGGCTACTCCTCCTAACCCTAACCTTAACTCTAACCAGATGGAGTGTAAACAGGAATGATGATAGAAAGCCAAACTTGTTGTAGTACCGGAATAAACTTTTAATAACGCATACGCAGCGTCGTCACATCGCCACAAGAGACAAAGAACGACACACGCACATACGCGCGTGTGCCTCTTCTGCGACCAGAACCAGAACCCTTCCTACATCTCTGTCCTATCATATTAAACCCCCCCCCCCCACCCCCAAAAACTCTCACAACATACTCCCGCACGATGTAACCGTTCCCACAGGCGCGTCATACCCCATTCACAATACCCTCTAATCTGGTCTAACCTAACCACGTCTACATTCTCTCTAATACATCATGTAGCGCGATCTTGTTGCGCGCAGCTCTGTCTAGCTAGCTATGCTAAAACAACTTACCGTTCGTAGCTTCACTGACTAATCATGTAAACACGTGACAAAAATGTTACGGAGAACCAATCATAAGCAATGCTGATATGCATGTGTAAGTCTGCTAGCTGTAACTAGAATGTAGCATGTTCTACCTCTGAGAAGATGAGGGTTGCAACAACTCCCATCTGGTCGTAGTTCCACTCAATATTCTTCACTTCCATCGTCTTTCTGAGCAGAGAATTGATCCCATCTGCTCCGACCTGTAATTAATGCGCAATTAAAATGTACAGTGGCCTCTAGTGGGCTGTGCAATCAGCGCGAATGTAGTACAATTCAAAAAATTCTTATAATTATTTACAATACTTCTCATAGTAATAACTTTTCAAATAGCATTTCAGATCATTCCACATGACATCATGAGTAGACAAACAGAGCGGATATATGAGTAACTGTTTATGGAACACAACATGGTTATGATTGAGTAGCATTTACACTGTGTTCATCATGTATAACTATCTCACCACAAGTCTAGTCTGATCTCCCTCCATCACTTAAATGCAGGGTGGCCAGCGAATCCCGGTAGTTGCTGTGCTGATGAGGTTTTGGCAGCTCATAGCTTTCTACCTTGGCACTGTACATCACCTAACATTGGTACACAAATAACACATTCAGCATTATAATGTCAAACACGGGGCGGAGGGGGGGCTTCCACACATTACTCACATAGTGCAGAGGCTGGAGGGTAGGGGAGGCTGAATGGTTGAGGGTAACAGGTGGAGGATGAAGAGTGGGGGGAACAGGGGTGTCGAACGTTGTAGGGAAGGGTGGTTGGTCGACATGCATACCAGGTATTGTTACACAGACGTTACAACTGATCAACCGTAAGACTTGAGTGGAGAATGTACATCCGTTAGACTTGCTCTAGTTTATTAGACAACTGTTAGTACATGTGTTAGACTTGCTCCTTATGTTGAGGCAGCTGTTATGCATTAGTTGTTAGACTTGCCTCTGTTGAGACAGCTGTGTTATGCATGGTGTTAGCACTGCCTCTAGTCTGAGGCCAGCTGTGATATGCATTGAGTTAGACTTGCCTCTAGTTGCAGGCATCTGTGTTTGGCAGGTGTTAGACTTGCCTCTAGTTGAGGAGCTGTGTTATGGATGTGTTAGACTTGCCTCTAGTTGAGGCAGCTTGTATGCATGTGTTAGACTTGCTCTAGTTGAGGCAGCTTGTGTATGCATGTGTTAGGACTTGCCTTAGTTGAGGCAGCTGATGTATGCATGTGTTAGGACTTGCTCTAGTTGAGGCAGCTGTGTATGCATGTGTTAGACTTGCCTCTAGTTGAGACAGCTGTGGTATGCATGTGTTAGGACTTGCCTCTAGTGTTGACGGCAGCCTGCTGTATGCATGGTTTAGACTTGCTTGTTGAGGCCAAGCTGTTGTATGCATGTGTTAGACTTTCCTCTAGTTGAGGCAGCTGTGTATGCATGGTGTTAGACTTGCTTTAGTTGAGGCAGTGTGTATGCATGTGTTAGACTTGCCTTAGTTGAGGCAGTGTGTATGCCATGGTTTTAGACTTGCTTAGTGAGGCAGACTGTGTATGCATGTGTTAGACTTTGCCTCTAGTTGGAAGGCGCTGTGTATGCATGTGTTTAGACTTGCCCTTTTAGTTGAGCAGCTGTGTATGCATGTGTTAGACTTGTCTCTAGTGAGGAGCTGGTGTATAATGTGTTAGACTTGCCTCTAGTTGAGGCCAGCTTGTGGTATGATGTGGTTAGACTTGCCTCTAGTTTTGAGGCAGCTGTGTATGCATGTGTTAGACTTGCTCTAGTTGAGGAGCTGTGATGCATGTGTTAGACTGCCTTGAGTTATGAGGCAGCTGTGTATGCTGTTGTAGACTTGCCTCTAGTATGAGGCAGCTGTGTGATGCATGTGTTAGACTCTGCCTCTAGTTTTGGGCAGTTGTGTATTGCATGTGTTAGACTTGCCTGCTAGTTGAGGCAGCTGTGTATGCAATGTGTTTATAGACTTGCCTCTAGTTGAGGCAGCTGTGTATGATGCTTTGTTAGACTGATTGCCTTCTAGTTGAGCAGCTGTTGTGTGATTGTGTTAGATTGCCTCTAGTTGAGGATAGCTGTGTATCATGTGTTAGACTTGCCTCTAGTTGCCAGGCAGCCTGGTGTACATGTTGTTAGACTTGCTCCTCTAGTTGAGGCAGCTGTGTAATCACATGTGTTAGATCTTGCCTCTAGTGAGGCACTTGTGTATGATGTGTTAGACTTGCCTGTTAGTTGAGGCAGCTGATGTGTATGCATGTGTTAAGACTTGTCTAGTTGTAGGCAGCTGTGTATGCATGTGTTAGATTGCTCTTAGTTAGGCAGCGGTTAATGCATTGTGTTAGGACTTGCCCCTTTAGTTGAGACAGCTGTGATTGCATGTGGTAGACTTGACCTTTGTTGAGGCAGCTGTGTGTGCAGGGTGTTAGGACTTGCCTCTAGTTGAGACAGCTGTGTATGTTATGTGATTATACTTGCCTCTTGTTGAGACAGCTGTGCTATGCATGTGTTAGATTGCCTCTAGTTGCAGGCAGTGTGTAGCATGTGTTAGACTTTGCTCTAGTTGGAGGCAGCCTGGGTGTATGCATGTGTTAGACTTTGCCTTCTAGTTGAGGCAGCTGTGTATGATGTGTTTTAGACTTGTCTCTAGTTGAGGCAGCTGCTGTATGCATGGTGTTAGACTTGTCTTCTAGTTGAGATAGTGCTGTATGCATGTTGTTAGACTTGCCTCTACCTGAGCCAGCTGTGTATGCATGTGTTAGACTGGCTCTTAGTCTGAGGCAGCCTGTGTATGCATGTGTTAGACTTGACTCTAGTTGAGGCAGCTTGTGTTGGTGAATGTGTTAGACTTGCCTCTTAGTTGAGGCAGCTGTTGTATGCATTGTGTTAGACTTGCTCTTAGTTGAGACAGCGTGGGTGTGAATGTGTTAGCTTGCTTCTAGTTGAGGCAGCTGTGTATGCAGGTGTTCAGACTTGCTCTAGTTGCAGGCCAGCTGTGATATGCATGTGTTATAGACTTGCCTCTTAGTTGAGATAAGCTGTGTATGCATGTGTTAGACTATGCCTCTACCTGGAGGCAGCTGTTATGCATGTGTTAGACTTGCCTGTCTAGTGAGGCAGCTGCTGCTATGCATGTGTTTAGACTTGCCTTCTAGTTGAGGCACGCTGTGTATGCATTGTGTTATAGACTTGCCTCTGTTGAGGCAGCTTGTGTATGCCATGTGTTAGACTTGCCTCTAGTTGAGGCAGCTGTGTATGCATGTGTTAGACTTCCTCCTTCTAGTTTGAGGCAGCTGTGCTGTGCATGTGTTAGACTTGCCTCTAGTTGAGGCATCTGCTGTATGCATGTGTTAGACTGTGCCTTCTAGTTGAGATAGCTGTGTATGCATGTGTTAGACTTGCCTCTAGTTGAGGCAGCTGTGTATGCATGTGTTAGACTTGCCTCTAGTTGAGGCAGCTGTGTATGCATGTGTTAGACTTGCCTCTAGTTGAGGCAGCTGTGTATGCATGTGTTAGACTTGCCTCTAGTGAGGCAGCTGTGTTTATACATGCTTTGTTAAGACTTGCCTCTAGTTGAGACAGCTGTGTTACATGCTGTATAGACTTGCCTCCTCTAGCTTGAGGACAGCTGTGCTATTGATGTTGTTAGACTTTGCTTCTAGTTGTAGACAAGCTGTGGTATGCATGTTGGTTAGACTTGCTTCTAGTTAGAGGCAGCTGTGTGTGCTGCTGTAGTAGACTTGCCTGCTAGTTGTAGGCCATGCTTGTTATGCACTGTGTTTAGACTTTGCTCTCTCTATGTTGAGCAGCTGTGTATGCATGGTTAGACTTGCCTCTAGTTGAGGCAGTCTGAGTGTTTCATGTGTTAGACTTGCCCTTCTAGTTGAGTGGCAGCTGTGGGGTGTTGATGCATGTGTAGACTTGCCTCTTAGTTTTGAGGCAGCTGTGTATGATGTGTTTAGACTTGCCTCTAGTTGAGGCCAGCTGTGTATGCAATGTGTTAGTACCTTGCCTTCCTCTAGTTGAGGCAGCTGCTGTGTTGCATGTTGTTAGACTTGCTCTAGTGAGGCGCTGTGTATGCATGTGTTGACTTGCTCTAGTTGAGGCAGCTGGTGTATGCGCATGTGTTAGACTTGCCTCTAGTTGAGGCAGCTGTGTATGCATGTCGTTAGACTTGCCTCTAGTGAGGCAGCCTGTTGTATGCATGTGTTAGGACTTGCCTCTAGTTAGAGGCAAGCTGTGTATGCATGTGTCTAGACTTGCCCTCTAGTCTGAGGCAGCTGTGTTATGCATGTGTTAGACTGTGCTCTCTAGTTGAGGCAGCTGTGTATTCAATGTGTTTAGGACTTGTCTCTAGTTGAGGCAGCTGTGTATGATGTGTTAGACTTGTTCTAGGTTGAGGCAGCCTGTGTATGCATGTGTTAGACTTGCTCTAGTTGCGGCAGCTGTGTATGCATGTGTTAGGGACTTGCTTTCTAGTTTGAGGGCCAGCTGTGTGTACATGTGTTAGACTTGCCTCACCTGAGGCACGTGTGAGTACATGTGTTAGACTTGTCTCTACCTGAGGCACGTGCTGGTACTTTGTGTTAGACTTGCTCTACCTGAGGCAGCTGTGTATGCATGTGTTAGACTTGCCTAGTTGAGGGACAGCTGTGTATTGCATGTGTTAGACTTAGCCTCATAGTTGATTGCACGCTGTGTATGCATGTGTTAGACTTGCCTCTAGTTGCAGGCCAGCTGTCATTGCATGTGTTAGACTTGCCTCTAGTTGAGACAGCTGTTCAGTACATTGTTACGACTTGCCTCTAGTTGAGCGCACGCTGTGTATGCAATGGTTTGTTAGACTTGCCTCTAGTTGAGGCAGCTGTATGCATGTGTTAGACTTGCTCTAGTTGAGCGCTGCTGTGTATGCATGTGTTAGACTTGGCCTTTATTGAGGTAGCGTGTAATGAATGTGTTAGACTGCCTCTAGTGAGGCAGCCTGTGTATGCATGGTGTTAGATTGCTCCTTTAGTTGGGCAGCTGTGTTATGCATGTGTTAGACTTGCCTCTAATTGTGAGACAGCTGCTGTATGCATGGTGTTAGAACTTTGCTCTAGTTGAGGCAGCTGTGTGTGCATGTGTTAGAACTTGCCTCTAGTTGAGGTAGCTGTGTATGATGTTGTTAGACTTGCGCTTAGTTGACGGCAGCTGTGTATACGATTTGTTGTTAACTATGCCTCTAGTTTGAGGCAGCTGTGTATGCATTCTTGTGTTTAGACTTGCTAGTTGAGATAGCTGTGTATGCATGTGTAGACGTTGCCTCTAGATTGAGATAGCTGTGCTATGCATGTGTTAAGACTTGCTCTAGTTGAGGAGCGTGCATGATGTGTTAGACTTGCTCTAGTTGAGGACAGCTGTCAGTACAATGTGTTAGACTTGCCTCTAGTTGAGGCAGCCTGTGTATGATGTGTTTAGACTTACCTCTAGTTGAGGAGCTGTGTATGCCATGTGTGTTAGACTTGCNTACATGACTCTTTTAGAGCAAAACCTTATATTTTCTCATTCCGTATGGTAAGACTCTCAAAAAAAGTTTGGGTAACACTTCTGGGTCAAGTACGTTTTTTCTGTACAGCTAATTATGTGATTTTCGGTTAGGCGCCAAAGTAAAAAAATTACAATATTGAAGTTTCAGAGCATAAATATTTATTAGGCAACCATAAACTTTCAAATTGCACTGAATTACATTGAATGAGTATTACTAATGACTTTCTAGCATGATTTGTTGCCATAAACTTTGTTTCATGGTCTGAAATGGCTACATTTTGCTCAATTTTAGCCAAAAATTGCGTTCACTTTAAAAGTAGCTCTAAGTATGATTGCTTATTCAGATTGCACCAGAGAGCATCTAAAACCCCTGAGCTTCGTGCACATAATTTCACATAATATCTAAAGCATTCTTCTGAGTTCCCAGTTTTACATGTTTGAATTTTAGGATATGAACCACCCTGCCTGTAGTGTGATGCAGTGGCGGCTTACTGGAGCAATGCCCTGTAGATTAGGTCTACGCCTTTTTTTTTACCCTGTCTAGTGCCATATAATTTGACATGCATGTACTCTTTTGAATAAAATGTTGGTTGACAGACAGAAATAAGTTTGTGAGGAATCAAATTATTATTAAGCAATGGTTGAATGTAATTGTGCATGAACACTCACCTGCATTCTCCTCACAGTTTGCTTGCGCATGAACACTCACCTGCATTCTCCTCACAGTTTGCTTGTGCATGAACACTCACCTGCATTCTCCTCACAGTTTGCTTGCGCATGCTGCATATCGTTTCCCATGCTCCGAATGCTGCACCGCCAACCCATGAAGGTCACATGATTCAGAAAAGAAAAAGTTACGTGTGATTATTACTAACTGATTGCAACATGCCCATTATGAAATTGCATATGTTGTAATGAGTACTGCTATGTGGCAGTAGTAGTTATGCATGGATCATCAAGAATGTTGAGTTAAAACTGTTTTTTGAATAATGAACAACTTTATTCTAATTTATTTATTTTAAATTAGAAACGAGAGCTGCCATTTTGTCTCGTATTTATTATTATTATTATTATTATTATTATTATTAAATCTTAATTGGATGTAATTTAAATACAAATACATGTACTGATTTATGGTAAATGTATTTGATTTTGCAACGAGGTTTTAGTGAGACACCGAGTGATTGCCAGGAAATATCATAACTATAGAAGAATAGACTATAACTGACTCATAATCTGTCGTTTACAGTTTTAAACACAGTAACTGATCAAACATGTAAATATCTGGAACGAACATACTAACATTCCAGAAGCTCCTTGGTTCCAGGGGTAAGTGCACAGACCCTGTTTCCGTATGTTTCTGACAGCTGGCCAGTAAGCTTCATGTAAGGTGCAGCTTCAATAAGTAATATCCTGCTACCAGAAAATAGGCGTTCACTACCTGTCAAACAAAATATAAATGACTTTATGACAGTGTCAATGACAATGTGGTACACGGCATATCAAATACAATATAATAAATATAGCCTAAAAGTAAAACACAGCAAAATTTTGATTCTATAGTTCACATGAAATCAGCACATTTACGATAGACTTTAGATAATTGTATTACGGGCTGCCGTTTTGGCTGTTGGACTAAAAAATTGATTGTCGAAGGCAATGATACAATAGCCAATCATTACACTAACACTAGTATAGCATACTACTCTAGTAACTATTAGCCCGCCGTACAGTTCGCGCGGTGCTAGTATGAACCAGCCATTAAGGGATGCGCGGACTACTTACTCCCATCCATCAGCGGAACTATTATTTCCGCACTGTCGAGCCTTGGAAGGGTGCGGCAACAGTGTGTTTGGTTGTGGACAAAAATCATTGTTGGTTGTCAAGTACAAATAATCAATTAGTAATTGTTCATACACTCATTGAATAAGTTCATCTTCCGTTGGTAGAATAATATAAATAACTCAAGTAATTTGTTACTCAAACCGTCGCTGTATAAACGTACCCGCTGACTTTCGCACTCCCTGTCAGGAAGCTTCTCAAGCTAACTGAATTTAATCAATTTGACCACAAGTGTGTTGGTGGTCAATAGCTTAAGTCCACACGTGACTAACCTTGTATCCCCTCGTCCGGTTTGATATTTGGGGTCTGCGGATACCAGATGGCCTCTGATCCAACGCCTGATTTTTAGGCTCTAGCTCGATCATTATCTGCGGAATTCGCGCCAACGATGGTGTAGTGGTTGTCCTTCGGCGTACAGATCAGATGACCGCCGGATTTGCTGATCTCGGTAGCCGAACTGTTCTCGCTGGTCACTATAAAGATTGGGTTGCTACGTGTCTACATCCTTTGGTGTTCTGTTAGGCGGGTTTTAAACAATTTCGCGCCGTTTCTCAAATGTAACTTCTTTCACAACATGAGCCATAGGTATTTATATAGACGAAGTCCGTAATGCAGAAAAAAATGGCAAGGTGTGGCGTCAACAGTGAACCGTTGAAACCTAAAACGGCTTTTAAACATCCTAAAAGACATGAACAGACATGCACAACACTTACGGACCTGCTCTATAGAAATACCGGTCTATGTGTAAAGAAGTTACATTCGGAGAACACGCCGAAAATTAAAACCCGCCTAAAAAGAAACAAAAGACGTAGCACCACCCGTAGCACAAATCTCACTAGCCGCAGCGAAACATACACCAGTACCGGCTGTACAGCGCTCTGTAAATCCAAATTACCCGCCGATTCACCTGATCATGTTAGCGAAGGACACTAACCACAGCCATCGATTTGGGCGGAGAATTTCGAATCATTGATCGCCGAGCCTAACAAAATCAGCGCGTTGATTGGAAGGCAGTTGCCATCTGCTGATTCCGCAACGCCCCACAATATCAACCGGGTACGAGGGGGGAACAGCTAGTCACAGTTGACTCAAGCTATTGACCCACCACATGCCATCTGGTGTCAGAAATCTGATTAACTTCAGTTAGTCTGTTGAGAAGCTCCTTGACAGGATGGCAAACGCAGCGGGACGTGTCATACCAGCAACCGGTTGAGTCAAACAAATTTATCACTTGGTTAATTATACACTTGTTGTTCCATCTTTCATGACAAAAACTAATATTACATTATCGTTCTTTTCGATTCGAACTTAAGGTTGTTATTGACCAACAACAGTTTTGTCCACAACCTAAGCCCAGAGCCCCCACCCTACCACCGTTGGAGATCATAGTTCCCAGCGACGTGCTTCAGCTGACCGCCGCGCGCCGCCGAAAAAAAATTGGATATGATATGTCGGAACATTGATATGTTCGTCTCACAAGAAATTATACCGCAAGTATACCGTTGCACATTAGTTTAGAGTCAAATGTCGACGTAGCTGATATAATTTTAGGTGCGATCCGTTTCACTCCTAGTTCTAGGGTTATTTCTCAGATTATTAGGTTAAAATACGCTAACATAAAAAATGAATTTCAAACAATCACCATATTAGAAATATTATCTAACGAAACTTTTTAAAACAACGACTACAAGTTTGATTACGACCCGACGGTGGCGCCTCTCAGCGCATGATCTGATGAGTTTCGGCAATCAACTACTTTCAGTCGCAAGGCTACAAGACCGAGGGATGTTTTCTTTTTATTATTTCAAAAAAAAAAGCAATTTAACGGATGTAATATCTTATAAACGACATATAGTTTCAGTTATAATATGGATAAATTTGCCCTAAAATGAATATCGTTCAGTTAAATAGCATTTAGGTATAAATATAATTGCACTTTTGTGATTAGCCCTCGGTCTGTAACGTGCAATATAAATTGTCAAATACGCATCTTTTTCGGGGTGGCAGCACGGTCGCGGGTGTCATGGCGCCGTTCAAATTTTGTAGCGTTGATGTGTAATTAATTATAACAATTAAATTAGGTATCTGTAACAAATATGTCTGGGTATAGATGATTTGTTATACAGTAAGTACAGTTGTATGCAGTAAAATCCTAGAGTCTACTCATGCCTCGACGCTTATTTTTCAGTCCTGTCGGGCAACAAGAAGCAATTTTTACTTGTCTGCATTTTGATTTTACTTGTCCAAAATTTACTTGTGCAATCTATGAGCTGTTAATGTCCTCTTTTGGTTTAGTGCATATCATATTATCAGGAGTGTATAATATAGAGATCTATATTATATAAATAGATATATAAATAGATATATATACATATATAACATATATATATATATATTATACACTACTGATATTTTTGCCAGTATTCCCTGCGTGCATATAGGCTCGCACATACCTATATTATGCATGTGTCTGCGCGCGCGTTTGCGTGCGTGCGTGCGTGTGTATTACACTTACAGTATATATTATTATACCGTATTTACTTGTGTATAAACCGCGCTTTTTGTACACAACTTCAATAAAAAAAATCAGGGGGTGTGACTTATAGACGAGGCTAAGAAATCTTGTTAAAGTGATTACGTCACGAATTTCTAGCACCATCAAGTAGTATATTTCTGTGTTATTTGTACAAAATAAAATGTATGAAAATACAATTAGTGTTTCTGTTTACTTTTCATGCTTATATACCTTCTTTATATGCCCTAATTTGCCGGTGAAAAACAGAGAGACGCCAGTATCTGAACAGTACTGGGGAATTTAGTGTTCGACAACAAAAATTACCAAATCGTGAGGATATATATTTAGTAACATTAGTACTTACTTTTAATGTAAAAAAATGGCAATTATTTTTTTACAAATTTTACCATGGAAAATTCATGACGTAGTCAATTTATTGTACCAATGTTTGTACCAACTTTTCAATGCAAAATATGGGGTGAGACTTGTAAAATACAAGAATTATACTTATACACGAATAAATACAGTACATGTAAAATCGTAATGAAATTCACACGTTTATGTTTGCATGCTGGCACGCTCAGTGTGTGTCATTAGCGATTGCAGCTTTTTCCTCAATCACAGGAAAGAGTTTTGCTGTCGTCCTCTCATCCCAGCGATGCCCACCCCCTACATATTCAGTAATGAATATGCCCCAACCGACTTATAAAAAATCGTACCACCACCCCAGTACATAAATCAAGGCCGCCCCGCCAGGGAGGTACGCATTGCCGCTCTGAATAAATCTGTAATGGTAACAGTGGGTGTTGCGGGTTGCTTTTTTCAGGGACCTTTGAAAACGTTTGAAGTGAGAATGTGGTGCGATAGCGCCCTGGCTCAGAGGATGTTAAATAAATATTAAACAACTCGAACTTTTCAGTTGTCCGATCGGGCAACTAGGCAAGAGAATAACTTGTCCGACGTAGACTTTCACTTGTCCCAGGCAATCGGACAACGGTTAGTGTCGAGGGTTGCTACTATCCCTTTAAGACAGATTCACTTCAGATAAGAGGCATTAATTGCCTACCACAGACGTTTTATAGTCGCGAACAAGCGCGATTAAGTTGGTCCCGCGCATCCCTAATGGCTGGTTCTATAGCCCAGCGGCAACTGTACGTGGGCTATAGTTACTAGAGTTAAGTCTATACTAATTACTATAGTAATTAGTATTAGTAGTATTAGTACAGTGTAAATAATATCATAAATCAGGGTTCTCCCCAGGATGAAATTGAAACAGGGGGGAGGGGAAGGGGAAGGGGGAAGGGGGTGGAGAGGAAGGGAGGGG